AATTCCCTTTTTCTTTGCTTAGTTTCCAAAGAAAACATATGCAAATTCTAATAAAAATTGACAGGTGGAAATGGGTTTTGGACAAGGTTCTAAGGAAAGAGCCCTGTGAACATTACGTAAATGCCAACCAATATAAAGCAGCCCCTCGGTTTATTCCAGCGAGGCAAAGGGGCCTCAGAAAATCCTGCCCCGCTGCTCAGCTCCTGACATTGAAGGAATCCAGCTTTTGTTCCCAAATCACATTTCTGATTTGGTTCTTAAATACTGCTTCTAAATGGTGAATTTGGAAAAAAATCGTGCATCTCTTTTCGTGCTGAAGCTTACCTGTGCTTCCTTAGCAATGCCTTTCTTGATCTTGCCTGCCTGAATTAGGTGTCCTCAAGATGATCTCTCAAAGAATCCTATTTTTTTTATCACTTCTAGCTCTTATCACCATTGATAATTATTTGCATGTTTGTTTGGCATCTGTCCGCTCCACGAATAAAGTTAAGTTTTACAAGGGTAGAAATGATGTCTATCCTGTCCCCAGCTCAGAGATGCCCGTGCCTGGCACAGTGGGCAGCACAGAGCAGGTGTTCCACGTGGGTTTGCTGGGTGTTTGCATGAAATAGACCCTTACGTGAAAACAGGATCTTGGTGACACAGCCGCACTTAATACGCTTGACAGCATCCATCGTGCTCAGATTGTTTTGAAATGCATCACACTGAATCCAATGCTTACATCCCATAACATCCCCTCATTTACTACAGCACTTCCACAGCATGACAACATGTTTATCATTAAGTAACCCATGTTTAGAGGAAAAGCAGCATAGTACAATAGTTAACTTCTTGGATTTTGGAGAGCTGCTATCTGGGTTTAAATCTCCACATTCCAAAATACTAGTTGAGCGACAGACTCTGGGATGGCTGAGTGCAAAGCAGATGTCATGGTACTGAATAGCAGTGGGAATTAGATGAGCAGATAGACACATCTTGTTTAGAGTACAGAAAGCATTACATTGCTTGTTACTATTATTTTTATTCCCAAGGCAATATCATTACTAACTAGTTGGCTGAGAAGTATTATCCCACTTAATCTACTTTCACACAAGGTCGTTTGGTCTCTGTGACGTGCCGCTACCCCCAAGAACACATCTGAGATTCAGATGGGCCATGGGTCTTGCCCAGGTCTTCGGCTTTTAAGAGGTGGAGCTGGGACATTCACCCGGATCTCCCAGTCCTCATTATTCTCCAGCACCAACACAAGCATTTTCCAGGATTCTCTTTCTCTTACCCACATCCTTGTTTCCCACCAAGGAGGGATGAGAATGCACCAGAGCAGGGATACACAGCAGGGCCAGGATGAGCCCAGGGTCCCCATCAGGAGGCCCCAAACCCCTGTCCACCTCTCCTGGTGTACATTGAGGCCATGTGCCGGGAATCACGCAATACTTTGAATGTTGCACACTTGCCCCTGGCCTATGATCATCTCAGCATCCAGCCAGCCCTTTACACAACACATTTTCATTACTTTATTTGTTTCAAAAAACAAACACATAAGATGATGTCCTTACTAGTAAAAATGTCTTCTGCTTGCCTTCTATACTTGACCATAGTGCTATGTATTTTGTACACATGTCACTCAATCCTCACAATCACAAAGCAGACCCTGTTACCATCTGCCTTTTACAAATACAGCATCAAGACTGAAGACTGACTCAGTGAAGGTATCTAAGCCATTACTCTTGTCATTCTGCCTGGAGAAAATGAAAATATTAACACTGGTTTCTCTTAGGGTGTGGTCTGAAAAGTGATGGTTTGATGCTTTTTGTAACATAGGTGAACACCTGGGATGCTATCACCAAGTCTGAGACATGGAACATTTCCTATACCCAAAAAGATGTCCCTGTAACCTTTGCCAGTGTCTGCGCCCCTCCTACCTGGACACAGCTACTCTTGTGACTTCCCTGATCAGAGTCAACGCTTTCTAGGTGTTTTGACTCTGCTGTGTCGCTGAGCCCTGAGAACAGTGTCCTCCCCTCTATCTTCCATGTATATAAAAGCCCACCCACTGTCCAATACCCACTCCACTCCCCTTTCTCTGAAGCATCCTCTGATCTGTGCTGCTGGCCAGCTCTGTGCGCACCGCACAACAGAACAGCATCATCATCATCATCATCAGCAGCAGCAGCAGCAGCAGCAGCAGCAGCAGCAACAACAACAAACGACAACAGCATGTTCGCTCCACCTTCTTTCTCCCAGAGCTGCGTCTAATGCAAAGTCATGCTCACACCTGTTGATGTGTTTTTCCTGGGCTTAGAAGCTCTGGCTCCTCCCTCCACCATGTGAACAAAGCCTCAGAGCCCAGCTGCACTCTGAACAGCACAGTGGGGGGGGTGGGGTTGGCCTCACATTGCGGGAGGGGATGGAAGTCCTAATCCCTGGGCCAGAACCAACTATATGACCTCAACTCGATCACTGAAACTGAAGTTCCAAGTCTTGGTTTCTTTATTTGTAAAATGAGGGTATCAGACTAAATAGGAATAGGGCTGAATAGGAGGCGCTGAGCCTTTTTTTTGCACATGGTTCTGTTTAATCCTCACAAGTCTTGTGACACAGGTATTACTGTGGCCTCTTCATGACTGAGGAAACAAAAGGAAGGGGAGTGCTACGCTTACAATACCAATGGCAGCAGAGCCAGGCCTCTAGCCAAAGTCTGGCTCTGTCCAGAGGACTTTGCTGTCGGCCATGGCCGCTCTGACCCCTTTCCTACTCTGACAAAGGAGTCCATACAGAGTGGCTCTAGTGACTGTGGGAGAACCAGAGAGAAGCGAAAGTGAGCTACGGTAAGAAGAGTGACCATGCGCCCTAATGGGCGAGACAGATCAGAATGACATCCTCCCTAAGCACAAGGGGTCTCAAGCCTCTCAGAACTGAAGCTGGTGAGAAAGAGAGAGAACACATTTGCTCTTGTGCGGCGGGTGAGAGAAGGCACTGTCATATTTCAATCTTATTCCCAGATAGCGGAGGATACCAAACCACAATTTGTTCCTAGTCATTGAGCTGCTAAGTTTTGATGAAGGTATAAAAATCAAGACGGAGTTCCTGCCCCTCCTTAGCTCACACCCTGGGGGAAGACAGATAGATGCAAGTAGCCTTCTGGTGGGATACAGTTGCTACACAGATAAGCACACAGGAGGAGGGGAGGCAGAGGCCACGAAGGGAGGGAGGGCACTATTTTGTGTGGGAGACTGACATCTATCCAGGCCTTGGCAAGGCGGGTAAGGTTAGGCAGGAAATGATTTGCAGAAAGGGTGAGCACAGTAGGTGTGGAGCGAGCGAGGCAAGGACAGGCTGGCGCTCCTCTCACAGGCTCAGGAACTGTGGACTCCAACTTGCCCATATTACTGTGTGGCTTGGCTCCTGGGGTCAGTCCACAAAGGGAGGAGTGAAAGGAAGCTGGAGTCTTCGGAGCCTCCCGGTTTTGGTTTGACTAGGCTCTGACTCCAGAGACCGTGTGACTGCGCATGCCCAGATTCTATGATTACAGGCTTCTTCCTCCTGGGCCAGCATTTCCTTGCTAAGATTGATTTGTGAAAAACTCTGCCACCATTCACCATGACAAACCACTCTCGGGTTTCTTTTCCATTTCCTTCTGATTATTATTATGTCAGAATCATTCTTGTGGACATATGCCCTTTCATATGTTTGGGGCCAAAAAAAAAAGATGTTTCCATTTATACGCTTGTTTATCATTATTATTACCATCATTACTGGGCTGCTAAGTGTGTGGACAGGGAACTAGGAAACTACTTTTTAAGACCACTCTAAAAAATCAACTTTATGCCATTTCAAAACAAATTTTTCCATCAGTCTAAAAGCAATTCATTTTTCTGTGTCATTTCAACCTTCCTCCCACAACATGTGGCTAGAAAGCCCAACCTTTGGCTTCTGTAACTCAAAATATGTATATATGTTACCTTCTACCTGCCACAGCCTGCAAGCCCAGTAAATCTGACTCAAACTACATTTTAAGTCATAGCATATTTTTTCTCTTTTTCTAGCACCAATTGAATCAGGCAATCTCAAAGAGCAAACTCCATGATCCAGGATCAAATTTACATTAAGTACACTGGAACTATGGGAGAAAAAAACCCAAACAAAGTCTGAGCCCCATAGATGTCTGAATGAGTCATTCTTCTGGATTGCAGATTTAGGGATAAAAGCAGAGTTCAGCTGGCTTTGTTCCTGTCTATTGTCACCTCTCTGGATATGTATAAATGTTCCACTGAATTGTTCACAATATCTTAAAGTAGAGGTTTTTCCACTGTTGTCTACTGGATTTTTAAAATTTTTTTGGAAAAGCATTGAAAAATATATCTCCTGACACCCCCTAGACATGAGGATTCAGTTGCCCTGCAGTGGAGCCAGCGTTTGTTTCTAAAAAGTTCTCCCATTTACTGTGTGGGACAAGAGTCGAAGCCACTACTCTGACCCTTACCCAGTCTTCTGAGAGGACTTGCTGCCTTCAGTTTGAAGCAAAACTCATCACCAAAGATCTGGGATCCTCTGCTTTCTGGATCCATTGTTATCTGGTTTTAACAACTTCGGTATTTTCAGGATATTTGGCCTCTTTTATCAGTTTAGCTCAAAATTGCTAAAATCATACCTACTAATAGAACACCTTTTTATATCAATGTGACCCTTTGAAAAGCATGAACTTGACATTGATGTGGCATGTAAGAATTGATAGTTTTTTGGGTTCAGCTATTTAGCTATAATTTTTCCCCCTTCTCCTTTGGTGGACAGGAAGCAGTGGGAGTCTTTTATACAAACACATTAATCTTTACATTTTTCAAGAACTATGGGTGTCCTTTGAAGGCCATGAACTTAAAGAGCCTGCAAAAGAAGCTTCATTTTTGGTTCAGGGACAAAAGTCTGTAATTCTCCCTGCAGTACCCTATGCATATATATTTATGCCATCAACCAAGACTGGCCCCTGTGCCCCACAGCCAAACCTTTGCTGCTCAGTCTCGCTCGTCTTCCAAGTAAGAGATCCTCTCTTCCAGATTGCCTCCACTGGGAACCATGAGCTCCCGGAACATAGCTTAGCACTCGAGCATGGCGAGAAGAAACTCCATCTGACGCCTACTCGTCAGCCCAAAGGCCCAGGGCTGGCTTTGGTAGAGGAAGCACTCCAAGACCCCAGCTTTGCAAAGACTTACACTTCTTCTTCCTCCTCAGTGAAGGTGGTTCTCCGTGTCTGACGGGAACCTCGCCGTTGTTCACGGCACTACAAGGAACCATTCCTTCCTTGTGCCATTCCCATTTCCCATCACGAGTTCCACCCAGGTTGCTGGTGCTCTAGAAAGTGCGCTCTTTGGATGGAAGCAGGGCGGGAGAGCGTGGGGAGCGGCTTATGTGTGATTAGATGGTAAAGTAGTAAATGTGATTTTAAATGATCTCATGGGACAAGCTGAAACCTAAGGAAGCAAAGAGGCTGCACTTAGATAACAATGCCTCCGGCAGGCACGATAGACTCCATCCCGGATGGACGAGACCGCCCCAGTAGGCTGTCAGGATCCCTCCTACAGTTGACCCAAGACAGCAGGACTGCTCCCCATCCCATGGCACCTTTTGCCTCTAGGTCCCTGTCCCAGAACAAACATGCACCTTTATTGAAATTTTTCTTCCCCTTCCCCAACAGAAAGCTACGGGTTTTATTTTTCTTGTGTCTTGGAAATTTTTCATTGAAAAAAGTTTGGGGATAAGTTTCGTGTTCTTTTTTCATGCTGAGTCACTGACCAGGTCTTATGAAACACTAGTTTGTAGTAAAACTAAGAAGAAAAAGTAGGAGGAGGAAGGGAAGAAGGTGAGGGAGAAGGAGGAGAAAGGTGGGCTCAAACCCTAAATGAGATTTTAAAAAAGAGCAGGAGGAGGAAAATAAAACCACCCACAGGATCAAAAGTGGGGGAGTTGATGCAGAAGGTCCCAGCCCTAGCTGTCTCCTCTGCTTCTGCTTGAGGCACTGCAGGCTGGAACAGCAGCGGTCCCTCAATCCCACTTTACAATGTGGGACCCTGGCTATGTGCTTCATTGCATTACGACTGCATTTATGGAAAAATCCAAATGAACCAAAAGGCGGCTTCGCTGGGGCAGGGTTCCACTCTGATGCAGCCTGGACCTTCCCCTGCAGGGATGGAAACCTGTGAAGGGACAGGCTGGGGAGCACCAATGCCCACTCATCAGAAGCACTGCTCAGCAGAAAGCTAGGAGCCGGGAGGGTGTGAGCTGCAGAACATCCCAGAGGCAGGGAGGGAGAGGAGGAAGTAGCATCTCCCCTGGCAACTCCTCTAGATGGTCTGTTCTGGCCATGGTATCTGGGCTGCTTGAGAAGAAGATAATTCTGAAATATTTATGGGTAAAATGTATGATATCTGAGATCTGCTGCAAAATAATCTAGAGGCAAATGGGGTGAAAATTAACCAAGATTGTTTGAGTAGAAAATTGTGGAATTGGAGTGATAAGGATGTATTGTTCTCTCTAAATGCCATATACTCAAAATCTTCTCTAACAAAAAGGTGTCCAGAGGAAAGAAACCCCCCAAATGTGAATGTTTGTATGATAAAGTAGAATTATAGGTCATTTTTTTTAACTTTTCTCCATCTGAATTTTTTCTATGAAAAGGCAGTGCTTATAGAGCATGGTGAGGGCTTCATCTTTCTGATCTCTGCTTTCCAAATCCTGGTCTGCTGAGCAGCAGGGAGAGACTGCAGGCTGCATTACGTGGGAGAAGAGACCTGTTGGTTTAGGGCACTCCCCAAGCACTCTTGGGCATACACAAAGCCCTGTCACCACTACTCAAATGAATCTGCACAGCTGGGAAAGGGATGCTCTCAGCTCTTAGAACCCTTCGGGTTGCCCTTTCTTATCCCCCAGCCTGGATCCAGGGCATGAAGCCTACTCAGAGGTGCATCACTGGGGAAAAGTCCTGAAGTTGGTGTCAGACTGTCTGCTCCACCACTGGTCAGTTTTGTGCCTTGGACAGATTGGATATTGCCATCCAGTTTCTCCACCTTTGACATGAACAAGTCCAGCAAAGGAGCTCTTGGCTGTCTTCTGGCTCTCTCCTATCTGTGAATTTGGAATTGTCCTGAAAATCACTAGCCATCTTTCCTTGCAGATGCTCTGAGCCTTAACACATGTGTGAGCTTTGCCACCCTGTAACTAATAACCACACCTGGGGATCACTAAAACCTGCTTGCAGATAGATGTTTCCAAAGAAACTGCCAATTTTTAGATATGACTGTTGTATAGTGATTCCATTACGGTGGAAGTCCATTTCCTCTTTGGTGTGTAAGGTCTGTGGCAAATGCCTTTGCCATTTGAGACAGTGTGGAAACCAGGGGCACAAAGAGTGAAGGTGTGTGAGGAAACACAAAAGGTAAAGTTGAGTGCATTCTCTTTCTTTGAAACGTCCGGAATAGGTAAATCCATCAGGACAGAAAATAGATTAGTGGTCGCCAGGGGAGGGGAGGAAGAGTGACCAAAGAGGGGTCTGCAGTTTCTTTTTAGAGGGAAGAGAAAGTCTAGGATTAGATAGTGATGATATTTGTGTGCTTTGTGAGTGTATTAAAACCACTGAACTGTATACCTTAAAAGGGTGAATAATACCTTAATTTTTAAAACACAAAATTTTAAATGTTTAAATGTTATAGAACTTTACATGGAAGATTAAAAAGGGGAAGGAGGAAAAGAGGAAGAGGAGGAGGAGGAGGAAGTGCATATAAAAACTAATATACTCCAAGTAAGGCTTTTACCTCAGTGAATAGTACTATATCATTATCAACTTCCTGGTTTTGACAGTGTTCTATGGCAATGGAAGAAATTGTTGTTGGGGGAAGCTGGGTTAAGGGCATGTGGAAACAGTAGTGTTTTTCAACCTTTTGTGAGTTTTAAATTATTTCAAAATAAAAAATTATGTGTTTAAAAGTTGTGATAGCAGGTGGGAGGGAGGGCAAGAGGTGAGTCCCGAACTCATGGCACAGTGGCTAATTGCTCTCAGTGCCATTGTCTGTGGTGATACTTAGGTCCTCGCTCAGGTTCCAAGCTCTGTTGTAAGTAAGATGTCACAGACAGCCCTAATCAGACCTTCCTCCCCGGGAAGCCCTGCTGGCTGGGGATGAATAATGAATTGAATTAAGCTATTGAGAAAAAGTCATTTTAAGAGTACAAATGAGGGCATGTGACACTCTGATGATATCAGGGCAGGGGCACTGGGGATCCCAGTGAGCTGTTGAAGGGGCAAGGGGGCCGTTTCTGGAGAATCCACCTGCTACTGTAAACCCAGTGTCACGGCAGAGCGATGCCTTCGCTGTGTGTGGTGATGCCGATGTCTCATGAGGTCTTCATGGGTTGCTGGCTGTTCCTTCCTCTCCCAGCCTCCTAGCCCCCAAGGAGAAATGGGCTGAATCTTGGATTCCTGTCCAGATGGAGTAAACTGGAAGAGGGAGAGGATGGGTATGTCTGTGTGAGAAAAACTGTGAAGGTGGACCAGCCTTGAGACTCCCAGAATCCCACAGTTTCCATCTTTCTCTCCCTGTGGACCCATGAATCTTCTCTCAGTGAATTTCTCATTATTGTGCTCAGCACAGCTGGCCACAATCTCTTTGCAGAAGAATTTCCTGCCCTTGGTTTCTGTTACCAGAGGAGCCTCCTTGGCTTTCTTTTCTGACTCCCAATCTTCTATCCCACTAATAATCATGGAATTACTTAAGACTTTTTCCTGAGTCTTTTATAGCGTTTTCTTTCTTTTCTGTGGCTTTAATCACCTCCAACTTGAGATAGCTCCTAAACCTTTATCTTCAGCATAAACCTGCTACATTCCAGACTCGTATATCTAATAGCGTGAACTCTTCAATCTCCAGTCATGGTCACCTCACCAGAATTTCAGGTTAGATACAGTTAAAACTGAGCTAATCACGTCTCTCCCTGCATCCCAGTGTTTCCTGTCCAATAGTGTCAGCATTTACCTCCTGCCAGAAAGCTAATGATTACCCAGAAGTCTCTCCTTTTCCTCAACCCCACACCCTCAAGTCCTTTTACTTGAAATGCTAGAAGCCTCCTAGTTCCACCAGTGTTTCTCCATCTCTTTGGTCACCATGATGAGGAGGCCACCCTCTTCTCCTTCCCAAATGACTTCAGTGTCCCCACTGCCACGCCACCAATTTCCAGTGCGTTCCTTACACAGTAGCTGGCATGCTCCTTTGACAACAGATGTCTGATCAGAAAACACTTCTGCTGAGAACCGAAAGTGTCTTCCCATTGCTGTTGCAATGAAGTTCCAAATCCCAGGTGTGGTTTATGAGCTGTCTATAGTCTCTCCGTTTTATTTCCACCCCCTAGTGACACTGGGCTACTCCCGTGTAATTGAATGCACCCTACCTTCCAACCTGGAGCCTATACAGACATTTCCCTTTCTTATTCTCTCATATTTAACTTGTTAGCCTCTCCTTCACTTACTAATTTCTAGTCATCCTTCACTTCCTAGACTAAACGTCATTGTACTGAGAGTGCATTTCCCATCCCCACAAACAAGGTGGATATTCATGTTACAGCCTTGTGCAAAATCATTCATTCATTCGCCAAATACATATTTACTGAATACCACCTATGTGCCAGGAGCTCACAGCCCAGTGGGCAGATATTGAACAAATAATTCTGAAAATGACCACAGTAATGTCCGGTGATAGTGACATTTCCCACAATATAGAAAATTCAAACAGACAGCAATGCTGGTTGAGAGCTGGCACACTCTGGTCACTCATGGGCCTCCCAGGAAGGCAATGTGCACTGTCCATGGATGAAACCCCTGAGTTTCACTGAAGACATCATGGCAGGATGCTATGGTACCAATTGCCTCGGGAGATTTGAAAGAAATAAAAAGCCCTTATCTCACTGTGGTGATAAGGCGCTTTCTGCAAGCCCCATGTTAAGTTTCCAGTGTTTCTACTATTTACTCCCTTAGCCAGCGCCTGATGAAGACCTGCTGTGTGTCTGTGCCCAGTAACAAGAATGCAGAAGTGGAAACAAGGACCTTGGCTCAGAGCTTCTGTGCTGCAGGAGACAGAAAATCAACAGTAAAAGCAATCACTGGGGCTGGGGATTTAGCTCAGTGATTCTGCTGCCTGCCTTGCAACTGCAAGGTCCCGAGTTTG